GGAAATAATAAAAATCAAAGCAGAAATAAATGAATTGGAAATTAAAAAAAATCCACAAGGGATCAGTGAAACCAAAAGTTGATTCTTTGAAAAGAAACAAATAGACAAACCTCTAGCCAGGCTCACATAGAAAAAAGTGAGAAAACACATATAAATAGGATTACAAATGAAAGAGGAGAAATAAAACAGACTCAGTAGAAATCAAAAGAATAATCAGAGATTACTATGAACACTTATATGCAAACAAATTCAGCAACCTAGAAGAGATGGACAGATTCCTAGAACGATATAATCATCCAAAGCTGGACAAAGAAGAAATAGAACTAAACAGACCAATTACAAGCAGCGATATTGAAGCAGTAATCAAAGCACTCCCCAAAAACAAAAGCCCAGGTCCAGACGGCTTCACAAATGTTGTAGTTTTTTAAGTGATCATTCTGCCTTCATTTAAAAGCTGATCTTCAGGGCCTCCCTGGTGGCGCAGCTGGGCTGCAAAGCTACCTGCAGCCTCTGCGCCGCTGGTTCAATCCCTGGCTGCGGCCGGCGAGGGTTCCACATGGCACGCAGACCTCTCCTGCCGCACCCACTGCTCCCCTCAGCAGTGTATTTGGTCAGTCTGCCTGCTTTGCTCTCCCCTCTGACTCTGGTAAATTCTCTCACCCTCCTGTGCTTCTGACTGTACCCAGTGCTTGCATAAATAAATAAATCTTTAAAAAAAAAAAAAAAAGCTGATCTTTGGATTTTTGGCACCTAAGAAAGTCTGTTTTTTTTTTTTTTTTTTTTTTAAAATCTCCCAATCCCAAACTTAGGTACTCTGTAGTTTGGACAGTATGGTTTTTATCATTTCCCACTATGTCTGCCTTTCCAGATATGTCAAGGCTCAGCTCAAATGCTCTCTCCTCAGGAGACTTTCCTATGTCTATCCCTTTTTTTTTACTTTTCAGTTTTTTTTTATGTGGGTGAACTATGGGAGTTAAGTCATAGGGACTAAAACAGAAAATAAAGCTACTATCTATGGGATACAGAAGGATGGTCTTACAGGCTACAGTGAGGCTGGAGGTTTGGCAGTGAGTGAATTCACCAGAGGCGGTGGAGAATAGAAAAGGTGGATGTATTGAAATACCCTGCTAAGAGAAGCAGCAGGCAAGTCAGGAGAAGCCTGCTGTTCCATGTCTATCCATTAACCCTTATTATATTTTGTGAAGAGCCCTGCTGTCCCATGTCTATCCTTAACTCTTACTATATTTTATTTCGATATAAATCTTTAATCCTCTTGCGGCCTCCCTGGTGGCGTAGGGGTTAAGTCTCTGTGCTATCACACTATTGCCACTGTGGCCTGAGGATCCCCAGGCCAGGGAGCTGACCCACATAGGGCACAGCAGACCTCTCCTGTCTCACCCACTGCTCCCCTTGGCAGTGCATTTCAGTGGATCTGCCTGTTTGCTCCCCACTCTGTCTCTGGTGGATTCTCTCACTCCCTACACCTCTGGCCTATACCCCAGTTCTTGTATGCATAAATAAATAAAAACAAAATCTTAAAAAAAATCTTAATCCCATTTTAAATGAGACAGAGGCTGTGTCTTAATCAGCTGTGTCCTCCCCATGGTGCTGAGCCAATGCATCTGCTGCTCGTCATGGGATCCTCTATTCTCAGGAATCCTGCAGGAACTTCAGAAATCAAAGAACAAAGAGCTTTAAACTATTACATAATCCAAGAAGTGCTTTTCAAGATGATTTTCAACATTGTTTCAAGCTTTATGATTAGCATTACATCTGCCAATGCATGGAACTAAATTATCTCCAGTTTCACTTGAAGCTAAAGCACAATCAGACATCTGTTGCAGCCTGATTTGTGTTTTGCCTCTTTCCCCTCTGGCCTTTGCCCACACTGTGTGCTCTAGCTCCTTAGCCACCTTTTTCTTTGTATTCCTAATATGATGCCACACGGACAGGTCCCCAGTAATTTTTAGAACTGTCCCTGTGGACTGATTTTATATCAACTGGAAGGAATTATCTGTTTTTGTAGGGATATCCAATTCATGAAGGATGGAAAGCTGCTTTCTGGGGTCACTGTGTCTATCCAGGACCGTTTTAACGGGCTTTACATTTTCCTATTCAGTGTTCATAGTGATAAGTATAGAGTGGTGTGGAAGAAATGCTGCAGCCACAAACTTCTTGTTGAAGAAATTCCTGGTCCAGGAGAAGTGTTGACTTTTTGATATCCTGTGGGAAGGAAATCACCCATTCAATGCTGTTTGGGAGGCAAGCAAAGCCAGGTTGAAAGCCTTTTTCTCTTCTTGGCTCATTTTAAAATTAGATACTGAAGTTAATTACTCATAGGGTTTGTCCTTAAATATTACATTTTTCCTCCTAGCAGAAAAATAAAAGCTCTCAAAGTAACTTTATGAAAATGTTCTTAATTGCTATCATGGGTGAATTATAGAAGGAATTTTTTTTTTATGAATGCAAGAACTGGGGTGTAGGCCAGAGGTGGGGGGGGGGTTGGTGAGAGGATTCACCAGACACAGAGTGGGGAGCAGAACAGGCAGATTCACTGGAATACATTGCTGAGGGGAGCAGCAAGGAAACAGAAGAGGTCTGCTGGGCCATGTAGGTCACCTCCCTGGCCAGGGATTGAACTCATGCTGCAGTGGGTGCCAGTAGGGTCATAGTGCTGAGACTTAACCCTTGGGCCACCAGGGAGGTCTCATAGGAGGGATTTGTAATGGGGATTTGACCATACAGTTGTGGAAAGTGGTGAAGTTGTCTTTGTAGCACTGCCCTCCCCTGCTAGATGCTGGAACTTGAAGCCCCAAGGGACGGACAGCAGGTATAGTTGGGGAGACCAAGAACAAGCTGGCATTCAAAAGCATGAGCTGGAGCCCAGGAGAATGTGCTAAAATTCATGTCAGTTCACACCGCTGATCTTGATGGTGGGCATTGTGTGGAAACTGAGCTCCTTCGGGAAGCTGAAGGAAGATCCATGTGCAGAGCTGCAGGCTCAGATGCTGACTTACACCAAGGAGCAAGCCAGGAGGTAAGTCACAATGTGTGGGAGTTGAAAAGTGGTGCTGATTCATCTGGGCCCTCCAAATCTTGCAAAGAATTTGTGGTTCTTTCTCACTGGAAGTATGGGGATAGGAATTCTTGGAAATGTAGTTTAGGGAATTCTAGGAAATGTAGTTCAGTCTAGTCTGGAGTAAACATTAAAAAGTACAATGGCTGTGACGAGATGGTAGGATTTCAGGTAACCATACTTTATAGTTTTACTTTTTTTTTTTTAAGATTTATTTATTTATGCATACAAGAACTGGGGTACAGGCCAGAGGTATGTGTGTGTGTGTTAGGACTTACCAGAGATAGAGTAGGGAACAGAACAGGCAGACTAACTGAAATACACTGCTGAGGGGAGCAGCAGGCATGACAGGAGAGGTCTGCTGCGTCATGTGGGTCAACTCCCTGTCCAGGGATCAAACTCGTGCTGCAGTAGCTGTGGACTGCTTCACAGTGCTGTGCTTAAAGCCTTGCGCCTCCAGGGAGACCTACATGTTGTTTTAATTCTTTGCAAAAAACATGTATGATTTATATAATCTGAAAAATATAAAACTTCTTTTGCGGGGGAAAAAATCTTCCTTTAATAAAGGGAGTTAGAAGAATTGAAGGTAAACTATTAAGAATTGAGAGACGAGGCCATCTATACAGGTGAATGTCACTGATTTTACCTGAAAGAAGTATAAAAAAAAAGCCCATGTTTCTATGTCTTTTACTTAATGGTTTTTGACAATGGCTGTAGTCTCTGAAAATCCAATGACATTGTTCTCAGGAAGAGCAATTTCTCAATCACTGTGCATCTCCCAGTGCAGAGCAGTGACTGTGACTGGAAGTTACAATATCCTTTGCAGTCTACCGAGTGCTGCTGCAGATGATGTAATTGGCAGAAACATCAGATTCTGGCTCTCAAGGATTCTCTCTGCTTGCAACCAAAATCCTTTTCTGGAGTGTACAGAAGAGCATGTGTGTCAAGATTATAAACACAGAAATTGAGAAACTAACGACTCTTCTTAGTGTGCTAAGATTTAGATTCGGCACTCCAGAACTGGAACAGTTGGATGGCCTCTTAATTGTCACCTGGAACCAAATCTCAGACTATCTTCTAAGCTTGGCACGTGGGACATTTTCACCTACCCAGCATTCCCCTGAGGTTTCCTGAGGTTATGCCACTGACAGGGTGTTAACTAGAACCTCACCCTTTCTCCTCTCCACTCATGAAAAAGTCAGAAAGTAAGTGAGTGAAAGTAACACTGTAGGGAGGACTTTTCAGTTAATAGGAACTTAACAGAAAAGGCAAACTGAAATTTCAAATCATTAGTAATAATTTGTTATCCCACTTGAGTATCACTACACTAAGTAAAAAAATTGTGGTCGCCAAATTAGTATCCATGTAAAATATGGGTGTGTGGGCCTCCCTGGTGGCCCAGGGGTTAAGTCTCAGTGCTATCACTTCTACGGCCCCTGAGTTCGATCCTGGGCCAGGGAGCTAATTCACATATGGCACAGCAGACCTCTTCTGTCTTGCCCGCTGCTCCCCTTAGCAGTGTATTTCAGTATATCTGCCTATTCTGCTCCCTACTCTGTCTTGGTGAATCCTTTCAACAACCTCCCCCCACCACACCCCAATCCCCTGCACTTCTGGCCTATACCTCAGTTTTTCTATGCAAAATTAAATAAAACATAATTTTTTTAAAATGTGATGTGGGAAGATATTAGAACCAGTTGTAGATATATCTTTTTATCTCATCCTTTAAAGATTAGTGTTTGATAGATAAAGCAAACATCCATATAATAGACATACACACTTAAACCTTTTTTAGTGACAGCATTGTCAAGTCAGAATAAGTCTGAAACCATTACCTTAAAAGAAAGTGAAACATTTTCTTCATTGAAATACAAACTTTAGGAGTTAGTACTCAAATTTTTAGATTAAAGCAGCCCAGTATTTTCCTGTTAACTAGTAAAACCCCAAATAAAAGCTATTATAGTTGGTAGGAAACTGGGAAACAGTACTGGAATGGAATGAAGGCAGCATCTTTCAATTAAAGATGCCATCACACCTACATCCACCCTTGTACACCCACACACAAAGGCAGTAGTTGTAGAATACCCTCAAACGGCTCAGGAAAAAAAGAATGTTACAAATGGACAGCCTCTTGGCATTTTGATGGTTTTTTAATTTTTTTAGCACTTGCTCTCTTAAAGAAAAAAAAGGCAATTAGTTTTATTTTTTTAATTTTATTTTTGCGTAGAACTGGGGTGTAGGCTAGCGGTGCAGGGGTGTGAGAGGATTCACCAGAGGCAAAGTGGGAAGAACAGGTGGATCTACTGTAATACACTGCTGAGGGGAGCAGTGGGCGAGACAGGAGAGGTCTGCGCCATGTGGGTCACCTCCCAGGCCAGGGATAGAACTCATGCTATAGCAGTGAGAGAGCTGACACTTAACCCCTAGGCTACCAGGGAGGCCTGGCAACTAGTTTTTTTTTTTTTTTTTTTAAGATTTATTTTTATTTTTATACAAGAGCTGGGATACAGGCCAGAGGCACAGGAGGGTGAGTGGATTCAGTAGAGACAGAGTGGGGAACAGAACAGGCAGACGATGGAAATAAACTGCTGAGGGGAGCAGCAGGCGTGACAGGAGAGGTCTGCCATGCCATGTGGGATTCTTGCCTGCTGGCCGGGATCAAAACCACACTACAGAGGCTGCAGACAGTTCCACAGTGGTGCCCTCAACCCGCTGTCCCACCAGGGAGGCCCGCAACTAGTTTTATAGTTGACTTAAGAGCATTCAGGAAACAGAAAGCTACATGTGGAGCTAAAATCATCTAGTTTTACAGAAGCCACAACTCCAGGATGGAAATGCAGGGGTATCTGGCACTGACTCCATGTGGTCTAGTGGTCAGTCTGCCTTCTTTGCTGAGCGAAAGTCTCCTGAGGCCACGTGGTACAAGCTGTTTCCAAGGGCACTTGATCCACCATCTAAGTCCACACTCTCCTGGGAGAGTGACAGTGCAGCAAAGCCAGAAACACCAGGAGGAACTGTGATGGGCTGAGCTTGAACAGGATGTAAGATTCTGTCATTCCCTAAACCAGTGTGATTAGCTCATTTAAGTATTTTTTTTTAAAAAAAAAGATGACGCATGGATGAACCTTGAAAACTTTATGTCAATTGAAATAAGCTAGTCACAAAAGGATAGATACTGTGATTCCACTTATGAAGATACAAGTAGTACAACTCCCAGACACAGAACATAGACTAGGAGTGAGAGTGGGAGTTAATGCTTAATGGGGACAGTTTCATATGGGGAAGCTGGGAAAGTTCTGGAGATGGTGGTGATGATGGTCACATAGTAGTACGAATGTCCTTACTGCCCCTGAACTGTATACCTAAAAAAGTTAAAATGGCAAATTTTATGTATATTTTACTACAAGAAAAAAAATAAGTCACTGAAGAAGTCACTGTGGGAAATGAAGCATTGAGTTAAAAAAAAAGAAGAAAAATCTTTTTTTTTTTTTTTAAATCAAAATAAGGGGGTTGCAATTGTATGGGTACATAAAGATTAAAAAAAAAAAAAAGGAAAAAAAATAAATAAAAACCCTTATCACCCCCTGCTCGGGGCTGCTCCCTAGGAGAGGGACGGCTGCCTGCCACTAATAAAGGCTTTCTCTAAATCTGAAAAAAAAAAAAAAAATAAATAAATCAAAGTAAGTACCTAGCACCAAGTTCAAGGTCTAGGATGAAGACAATCATGAGTGCTTTTAAGGGCCAGCCACGCAGCTCAGGAACACTGTCAGACAGGTCACTTTGTGGATCTTTTCTCTGTGCTTGGCACTTCCAGACTTTCCAGTACTGAAGATGTTTCCTTTTTTTCAGCTTTGCCCAGCCCTGTCATTCATAATAGACGAATGAAAAGTCCCAGAAACCTGTTCTATTTGGGAAGGTTTTCTTTTGTTCTAGACTTCGGTGGCTAATATGCTTCACGAATTTCAGAGTCTCTCTGTCTCTGTAGACTAGTGCCAAAGAATTGTTTTCTGGATTCACTGTTAGCAGCTGAAATAAGCAAAAACGGTGACACATCAGACCAACAGCTTATGCTCAACGCTTCTTACTGATTTACTACTGAAAAGATTATTTCCATATCAAGTACTTCTAAAAGACTTGAGATAGATAGTGGAGCTTCTAAAAGATCCTTTATGAAAAAAAGCTTTTGCTCTGGTTGTCTAAATATTTTCCAGTAAGCCCTATTCCAACATATATCCAGAAAGGTCTTACCTAATGCATTTCTTTTTTTTTAAAGATTTATTTTATTTACGCATACAAGAACTGGGGTGTATGTCAGAAGTGTGGGGAGGTGAGAGGATTCACCAGAGACAGAGTGGGGAGCAGAACAGGCAGACTGAAATAACACTGCTGAGGGAAGCAGCGGGCAAGACAAGAGAGGTCTGCTGTGCCATGTGGGTAGCTCCCTGGCCTGAGCTCAAACTCATGCTGCAGTGGCTGTAGATAGCCTCATAGTGCTGAGACTTAACCCCTTGTGCCACCAGGGAGGACCTGATACATTTATTTCTTACTACATTGAAAGATTTGTGGGAAATCACTATGTAGCTCTTAATTTCTATGGAATTTCTCAGTAGGGCAGAATAAATAATGATTGTCCTTTAGCATCTTTATTATTTTCTACTATTGATAGAAATGAGAACTGCCAGGCAGAACAACATGGATTTAATCTGCTAAAGACACTGGCAGTAGGTCATAAAAATCAGGTCTCTAAAAAATGACTTCTTCAAGAATTAAAAAAAGCAACTTACCTCTTCATCTTCACCTTTGGCAATGTAGGAAGTAAAGCCACCATATTCTGGCTCCCAGCCTTAAAAGGGGAAAACAGACAGCATTTAGAAAACTCACGAGGAGAGTTACAGCATCTGCTTAAATCATTAATCAGATGATGCTTAATACTGGAGGATCTGAGAGTTCAGAGATACTGTAAGTCTGAATCTACCATTCAATCAACCCTAAGAACTGAAAACTAATAATTAAATGTAAAATATATCTGAAAGGGCAATTACATAAAAGCTTTAGATGGGGGGCCTCCCTGGTGGTGTAAGGGGTTAAGCATAGCACTATGAAGCAATCCGCAGCCTCTGGAGCATAAGTTCAATCCCCGGCCGGCCAGGGAGCTACCCACATGACACAGAACTCTCCTGCCTTGCCCGCAGCTCCCCTCAGCAGTGTATTTCAGTCAGTCTGCCTGTTCTGTTGCCCGCTCTGTCTCTGGTGAATCCTCTCACCCCAGTGCGCCTCTCGTCTGTATCCCAGTTCTTGTATGCATAAATAAATAAATCTTTAAAAAAGAAAAAGTTCTTAAAAAAAAAAAGCCTTAGATGGGGGTGGGGAGTTACTTGGTAGGAAGTTATGATTGGGTCTATCTCCCATATTCTAGACCAGATATAAATTCAACTTTGGATTTGGAAACTAAAATTCATGACTCAGATTTCTGCCAACATTGAGCTCCTATGACCTGAGATCCTGGCCAAGGCAAATGACTTCTGAATTCGTTCAGCTGCAGAGGGTCACTAAAAGAAATGAGCCTCTTAAGAAACAATTCACTGCTTTCTTTCTTCCTTACCTTCACAGCCACAGTACAGAATTAGGTCCAGGGCAAATTCAGTCTTGCTGTTGTCATGAATTAAAGTGTAGTGACCAGTTTTCCAATGCCTCAGTTCCCCCTGGCAGGTAGGAACACTTGATTCTAACAAAAAAATGACAAGAGGTTAGAAAAGTTTAAAACAACCTTAATGCTGCTACTATATTGCAAGTGGATGATAATTAGGAATAATACAGCATGAAAGAAACCATTCCCATAAGCCTTCAACTGAAACATTGTTCCACCAAACCAGTCTTATCTTCAGGTCTGAGCCACATGCAAAAGAATGAAAGTAGGTCACTATCTTTTTTTTAAAGATATATTTATGCACAGAAGAGGGTGACAGGATTCACCAGAGAGAGTGGGGCACACGACAGGCAGACTGACTGAAATACACTGCTGAGGGGAACAGCAGGCAAGACAGGAGAGGTCTGCTGCGTCATGTAGGTAGCTCCCTGGGGATCTAACTCGGGCTGCAGAGGGCGGATAGCTTCATAGTGCTGTGCTTAACCCCTTGCACCACCACGGAGGCCGAGTAGGTCACTATCTTACTCCCTAAACTAAAATCAGTTCAACTGGTTTAAAGACTTGAACGTAAGATCTGAAACAATAACAAAGATGGTAAGTTTATTAACACTGACCTTAATGATGTTTTTGTGGACTCGTTTCCAAAAGCATGAGAAACAAGAATACAAACAAATGGGACTACATCAAACTAAAAGCTGCACAGCAAAGACACCAGCCTTAAAATGAAAAGGCAGTGCAAGCGGGAGAAGGTATTTGAAAGCTGTAAGTTAAACAAGAGTTAATATCCAAAATCTATAAACAACTCATTTGACTCAACAACAAAAGACACAATTTGATTGAAAAATGTTCAGAAGATCTTAAATAGGCATTTCACCAAAGATACACAGAGGGACAAGAGACACATGAAAAGATGTTCTATATGGCTTATCATCAGGGAAATACAAATCAACACCCCAAGAGATTTCACTTCACACTGATTAGAATGGCCATTATTAAAAAAGTCAAGAAACAGGGCCTCCCCTGGTGGCGCAGCGGTTGAGCACTGGGCTGCGAAGCTGCCCGCAGCCTCTGCAACACCGGTTCGATCCCTGGCTGCCGGCGAGGGTCCCACATGGCGCGCAGACCTCTCCTGCCGCCCGCTGCTCCCCTCAGCAGTGTATTTCGGTCCTTCTGCCTGCTCTGCTCCCGCGCTCTGGCTCTGGTGAATTCTCTCACCCTCCCGCGCTTCTGACTGTACCCAGTGCTTGTATAAACAAATAAATAAATCTTTAAAAAAAAAAGTCAAGAAACATTAAGTGTTGGCAAGGATATGGAGAAAAAGGAACCCTTGTGTGCTGCTGGTAGGAA